TCTATATGTGACATGGCACCAGAGTTAAGTTAGGGTTTTTCAAAATGCTGACACGCTGAGCTCAAAAGATTCGCCATCACTGGTGTATACAGTGTGGAGACACTGGACAAAGGCACGGTTCACCTCTTGGAAGGACAGACCATAAGTATGAGAGTCATCATATAATTCAGAACATTTCAAAACTTATGAATTGTTTATTTCTGCAATTTGTTATTTAGTATTTTCAGACCATAGTTGACCACAAGTAGCAGAAACCACGAAAAGCACAACTGGGGGAAAGTAGGAGGAGAACCACTGTAACAAACCTGTGTTTTCAATGTTCCCGTATAGTGTGGCTTCAGTGTGGCTTAAAATCATAGTAAGAACCACCAGGACTGGTCCAGCCACAACACTGGCTCTGGTGGCCACAGTCGTATGAGCCCAGGTGACTGTCCCAGTGAACGAAACAAGCACCAAACCCAGGTGAGTTATGCCCTAAACTTTAGAGAGTGGCCCCAAGGAAAGAAGTGGACATTTACACTGTGGGACTAGGAGGGCATTGGCCCCCCACACCCACTACACAAACCCCACTTTCAGTGTGGTAAGAAGTTGACTTGTGACTATTGTTTAACACCAAGTTAAATCATTCTGCTCAAGACTTGTGCTGAAAAATAACAAAATCCTTTGGGGGTAAAAAAAAAAAAGTGAATAGAAAAAACGAAATCCCTCATTTTAAAAGTATAGAATAAGTGAACGGAAAAGTAAATGGGACCTTATTAAGATGGAATATCGAACAAGCTTGGATGCAGAAAATTAGGTAGAATATCTAAGCCAAAAATAACTCCCCACAGGCATTGCCCATGCAGATCATGTGAGCTTTGGTTTGTGGCCTCTGTGGCCTGGAAATGAGAGCCAAGACAGGTCCTGTTCGAGGCGGGCAGTTTCAAAGGAGGCCACTCCCACATTGAGGTTGAATAAGGGTAAGGGTGAGTCAAAGAAAACCAAAGACAAGGGGAAAATCTGGACAGCAGCCAGAGTGGAAAAGACAGATTACATTCAAAAGAAGCACAGTTTAATTGAATTATCCATAGCAATGAGGGAAAGCAGAAGAAAGCAAATACTATCTTTAAGTATCACTTTATAATCTATACTTAGTAGAGAGCATTCAAAGATGAGGAAGTAACACAGATCTTTAAAACAAATAAATGGGGAAAGTCATTGCCTATAGAGTAAAACTACAGTGTTTAAATTCATTGCAGTAAAAACACCTAAGTCCAAACTGGTTGTGGTGATAGACACTGGCTGCCAGAACCATCTCCCCAAACTATTACTATCTACCCATGTGGACATGGTACTTCATCTCCCCTCACCTCAGTTTCCCCATCTGGAAATGGGGATAATGAGTGTCACTCATGCTGGGTGGTTAGTAAGCCCTCAATATGGTCCAATCATCTGTAACATTATAGAACGTCCAATGCATGTCCTGGTTAACCCTGAAGGCAGTGTCAAGTCAAATCTGCTTCGTTCACTTTTTTAAATCCTCGCCTGAGGATATGCTTTTTATTTTTTATTTTTTTATTGTTGACTCTATTCCAGATGTGCCCCATCCCCCCCCTTTGCCTCCCTCCACCCTCCACCCATCCACCTAGGCCTTCACCACATTATTTTCTGTGTCCATGGGCTGGGCATATATGTACATATATATTCTTTGGCTGATCTCTTCACATCCTCTCTCCCCTCCTACCCTCTGAGATCCGTCCTTTTGTTCCATTTATCCATTCCTCTGGTCCTATTTTGTTCATCAGTTATTTTGTTCTTTAGATTCTACATTGATTTTTAGAAAGAAAGGAGGGAGGGAGGGAGGGAGGGAGGGAAGGAGAGAGAGA